CTTCCGGTGACATGGGCGGGCCCTGAGCCCCCAGCCGCACCGCCTGACCGGAAGTGCTGCCGAGTCACCTGGGGCTCCCTGCAGTTCGGCTGGCTGTCGCCTGGGGGCGCGGGTCTCCAACTTTCTGGCCTCGAATGCCAGGTGAAATACTTGAATTCCAGATTAATAATGAATAATTTTTTTTAGAATGAGTGCCTCACTCGTGATAATCGCTTATCTGAAATCCGTGCTTAGCTGTGTATCTTGTGTCTTTATTTGCTAAATCTGGAAGACCTCAGGATCCTTTTGCGCTCTTAAAAATTCGAGTTTGGAATCCTCCGCCCTATCCTTTCACTCAAGTGGGCTGTGCCCGTAGCTCTTCAAGCATTAGAAGGTGAAACCTAAGCTCTCCAGCTTGCGTTCCTGAGACGCAGGCCGATGAGCCAGGGTGTGGTTTGGGGCCTCGGTCTGCGCCCCGGGGGTGTCAGTGTAAAGGCAGACGCTGGGCTTGGAGTCGTCGGGAAATGAGTGGTTCTGGCGCCGAGGATCCCGAGATCGCAGAAACGCGCCCAAAGGAAACTAGCAGCCTAGTCCATGCCCAAAGAGGAGCCAGATGGCTGCTGTTACTGTCAGTAGCTGGTACCGCCCCGGCTAGAGCAAGGCGTCTCTCCTCATCTCACCAGCAGGAGCAGCTTTGCACACCTTTCTGATTTCGGGTTTCCCAGATTTCCTGGTTTTGGCGACCTTGGAGAGATCTGGGTGACTGTTGTGGGAAGAGGAGACCTGTACTAAACACCTATGATGTCACAAAGTCTCTGTTTGTGACAAACTTGGAACACAGTACCATCCCTGTTTTGGGGAATTTGAGATTTGGACTGGCTGCTCTCTGGCCACTGCTCTGGGCCCTACTAGGCAGCGCATAGCTTTGGCACACGAAGGGCAGTGTCTCCATCCATGGCCTCGAGTCTAAGTTTCTCAACGGTAAAATAGTAACTTTCCAGCAGTGTTACAAAGATTCAGGCGAATTCGAAAAGTGGTTAAGGAGCAAGGCTAAGCACAGGCCTGTAATTTCAACACTAGGAGGCTGAGGCAGGAGGATCACAAGTTCCAGCCTTGCCTGGGCAATTTAGCCACTTAGCAAAGACCCTGTCCAAAAAAAAAAAAAGAAAGAAAAAAGAAAAAGAAAAAAGCAGCATTGCCTCAGCAACAACAAATGCAGGAAAGTCTTCCTGAAGCAGGCTTTCCATCTGTTCCACAGGGCATGAAACTTGTGTAGATGCCTCCTGGGCTAGGAAGACAGCATGTTACCAGAAAGACTTCATGCGAAGATGAATCTGCAAAGAAAGTCTTACTAAAGCTTGTAACTCTTACCTTCCATTACTGTCCTCCATCTGTTTCCTAGTCACCTCCCCATAATTACCTGGTCCTACCTGGCGCCCTTGCTGTGTCTGCACCATTCACTATGCTCTGTTTAAAAGGGTATATAAGCTGTGAGGCTGACAGCTTCAGTGGTCTTCACTTCTCCTTTTTGTCTCCTTTATTGTATGTATGTACTGCAGTTTTGGGGCTTGAACCAGGACCTTGTTCATGCTGGGCAAGTACTCTAACCCTCAGAGATATCCCCCACTCCATTAAAAAAAAAAAGGCTCCTGTGTGTGTAAAAATACTAAATAATATTATGTGCTTTTTTTCCTGATAATCTGTCATGTTTAATTCTCAGGCCCAACCACCAAACCTGAGGTGGTAGAAGGAAATTTTTCTTCCCTTAAGAGCCACTCTCTGAGGGAGTCGAGGCACTAAATAAATCTATTGCTCCCTAGTGTATCCTTCATCTGACAGTGGACCTTAGCTCCAGATTGTTCCCTCTCATTTACTGAAAACTTTGACTTCCAGTTCACCAGCTTCCTCCTCACCAGGGGATTAGGCACATAATCACCTAACCTTGGGTTAGGCACATAATTAATTACTCAACACCGGCTTCTCAATTCTTTCTCTTCCCACTCACCTTAATGCCTTGTCCTGTACCCTCTACTGTTCTGAGAGCATCAGGAAGATATACATATGTTTACTTACAGATTTTTTACAACCTTCAGAAATGGAGTATAATAATGTACTGTAAACTAGCCAACTCATATGTGTACAATTCAATTATCGCAAAGTAACCACACTCCAGTAACCAAATCTAGAAATGAAGATAACTATTGCAAAATAGTGACACAATCACTATACTGACTCCTAATGATTTTGTAAATTCCTTTTATCAGGTAAAGGCCATTCCCTTCACCTGTATATCTATCATAAATGTGTATAATTCTATCAAGTGCTTTCTCTGTGAGAGCATCATTATGCTTTGTCTTCTTTATTAGTGTATGTTTGTGTTAGTTACTTTTCTCTCGTCGCTAAGACAAAATACCCAACACCCAAAGTTAAAGTGAGGGAAGGTTTATTTGGCTCACAGTTCATAGAGGCTTCAGTCCATAATCAGCTGGCTCCAAGGCAGAGTGGCCTGGCAGAGGGGTGTTGCAAGGAAGAAACAGTTCAGGGTGCCCACATAATAGCAAAAGCAACGAGGGACCTCAACAGTGTCTTGCTGTTCCTTTTCTCTTATTCAGACTACTGGCATTAGGGCAGTGTCAAACCAATCTCTCACATGTAGTGGTTTAGTAATCACATACCCTTAATCCTACCATCACACATTCCAAAAATAACTGCATGAGGCTTTGGGGTACATCTAGGCACAAGCCACAGCAATGTTACATAGATTTGTGTGTGTGTGTGTGTGTGTGTGTGTGTACCGGGGATTGAACTCGGGTCCTTGCACTTGCAAGGCAGGCCACTGAACTGCTGAGCTAAATCCCTGGCTCCCACATAGTTTTTTAAAAAAATATTAAATGACCACTGCAACTCTTGGAATGAACCTGAGTTGGTTGTGATCTATAACCCTTTTTACACATTGTTGTATTTGGGTTACTAATATTTTGATTGAGAGTTTTAGCATCAGAATATGCCAGCCAAAGTAAGGACATTGGATTTAATTTTGAGATTGCTGAAAGTTCTTATATGTTCTGGTGAGAAAAAAACCTTGGGTGTTATTAAGAGAGAAAAACAATCTGTTGGGTAGTGTGTAGCATAAGATCACTGTGTAAATTAAGCTCTGTATGGCGCACATTTTTTAGAACTACGAGGGTAGTTGACAAACACATCAGTGTGATAGTTGGGAGGGGGATTGTTTTGTACCCTTTTGTAATGCTGACATTTTTTCACCATATGCATGCATTACCTTTATTTTAAAAACTAAAAAGAGAAAGTATCAAATGTAGAAGGCCATTTGACCCTAAAACCTCTCTCAATCGGACGAGATACAGAGTGAGAAATTCCTGTTTCCGGGATGGGCAGTGCCCTCTTCTCCAGAGCTCAATTCCGCTTCAGAGAAGCCAGCGGGACACTGGCTGCCTCAGGGCTGTGTGACGTGTCTCCCTTTCTGTGCTTGGGTGTGGCTCCAATAGAACAAACGAGGCTCTATCAAGCCCCAGCGGTTCTACTGTGTGGCGGTTCCTTTAGAAACGGGTTGGCTGATTAAAAGGATTCTAGGTCCTTCCTGTCTCGCACAAAGAATTAGATGAGACAAGCCAAAAGAGGTGCCAGAAGTTTATTTGAAAAGTGATGAGTGAAGGGGTTAAAAACTGGCTCTGCAGAGTGAACTTGGGCCAAACAAAAGGAAAGATAAAAGCCAAAAGTACACTCGAAGACTGGGCTATCGTGACGAATCACCATAAAGGCCTCCTGGTGCTGTCTTGTCCTTATATGCAGTCCACATCTCATGAGAACCCAAAAACTCTACATACGGGTTCCTGGGGATTATTTGGCACTGTCTTGAGATCTTGTAATTGACAGTTCCCACTTACTTCCCCAGGCAGCTGCGCTACACCCTACCTCCTGTATCAGTTACAGTACCGCAGGACTCTCGTGCAGATGTTAGAATGTAATATAGCACCGGGCTGTTAGGACAACAGGAGCAACTAGGCTGAGAAGGTGACTGGGACGGTCAAGTTGAGAGGAGGGATATGGGTAGAAGAGAGCTCAGGAAGGCACCACCAATAGAGGGTCCTACCTAGTGCCTCCTCCCTCAGCCTGTGCTCAGGAACAGCATGAGCCGCAGTGGCCAGGCCATGGCTCCCTGAGTTGCCAGAGAAGGGATCACAGACTAAAAGGATGTCTTAGACTTTGTGCTTCTATAACGTGAGACTAGGTAATTTATAAGGAACAGAACTTTTTTTTTTTTTTTTTTTT